TATTTGTTTGTCTCGCCTGGAAATAGGCTCTCAAGTTCATGGTTATTTTTTATCTAGAAATTCAAACCAAAAACTACTTTTTTTGGCAACAAATTAAAATTCAAAGAATGTTTAAGACATCACTGCCATACCTGTCATTTTAGCAAATGAGCAGTTCTCTCGTTTGTCTCCATAATGTGACTCCACTATCATAATTAATAACATTACTTGATGTGTCACGATGAACATTCATCAAAACTAATTTTATTAGGACCGAGAATGAAAACTGGTGGAACTGAATCTGATCGTAGTAATCATTACAAAATGATAGCTGTTTATTCAGTGTAAATGGTGTTATTCCATAATACAATGAATTTATTCTGAATCAAAAAGAATTTCCAAATGTAAGGCTGTTAGACAAGTCCATTGTTTTACTCAAATTTTTTCTCTTGATTTTAAGATAAAGACCAAGCCATTAGTCATTCAATGCATTCAGTTGTATAGATGTTACTATGGTGATGGCCACTGTGATGGTCTCCGCAAATTTAGCATTACTATTGAGTGTATATATACATGTATATAGAATGTATTTCTAATAGAAGCAAAAATTAACCCCAAAAATTGCATTTACTTTATGTTGGATTATTAAAATTTTAATATTTTAGACACACCTCCGTCGTTTATGTCAGCTCAGGTACTATACATGTATAAGGCCAATACTCTACGCAATAACTGCTTAAACACCTGGTTGACCAGTCTAACAGAAAAATGTTCATTAATCTTTGGAAGCCATGGCGATTAAGTACATGGATGGAGAGGTTTGAGTAGATTGGTTCACACAAGACTGATGGCTATGCACAGACACCATGGTGGTTTATGCAAGACTAACGACTGTGCTCAGACACTGTGTCTCATTTTCTCGGTGGATGTATTAACAAGTAAGAATCGATAGAAGCACTTATAATTGGAACTGTACAATAGTGTAGAGTGTGTTTTATACTTTGCTGAATAGGCTTTCAAGGATGGTGGAACAATAACACTTTTTAAGAAGCCTTGTTCATGTAGTTTCTTTTTTTTAAACCTAAACCCCCATATACTCTTTTTTGTCAATTTCCGTGGAGTAGACCAATCTGATATTATGTTTTCTCCTTGAAGTTGGGAATTTTTTTTTTCGTTTAAATTTCACCAGCGCAATGCATGCCTTATTTGTTTTGTAATGTCAAAACTCAAGACAATTACCAAAAACGTTTAAATGTGCGTGGATACATGGACGCGATAACTGAATTATCATTTGACAGGGGAATTCGTTTGTTGGGTTGAAAAAGTGAATAAAGCTAATTGGATGTAACCTTGTATATGAATCAAATTCTAATAAATTCATTTGGTTTCGCATCGATGTGATAAAACGCAGATGTGTTTGTCATATTTCTATTTCCTATTCATTATTATCCCGAACAAATTCTGAGAAACTAATAATAACTAATAAATGCCTTTCAGCAGAACTACTTAACTCGTTGAATGAACAAGTTAAAGTTTGCCAACACTCGCATAATAAACCTTCAGAATTTCTTCTATACTTTTTTTTATAATACATGTATGAGGTTGTGACGAGGATACCTCAAAGAATGCACAAAAACAGTACAGCGGGAGTATCGACCAACGAGCAGCAGAGGTTGATGTGACAGTGTTAGTGGATGGTCAGAATAAAAGCAATGAGCCAAAAAGTAGTATTACTGGCTTAAAAGTAGCTTCGTTTGCTTTCAAAACCATCAAATCTAAATAGTTTTGAGTAATCTGCCTAAATAAAAATAAATTGAGAATATTGATTATAACGATATTCACATTAAAACTTCTAAGTTTCTATGTACAAGGCAAATCAGCTTATGGCCAGCTTGCAAGTTAAATTATGCTTACTCTGTGCTATGCTAAATTGAAATACTGAAAGCTAACGAGAATGAATTAGAAAAGAGAAGAATTTAGCATTTTTGTAAAACAAGTTTAGACATAAAAAAGTCACATATAAACAGTATTTTTTTATATTTACATGAAATACTAAAAGCTAACAAGAAATAATTATAAAAAAATGATTTTAGCACTCTTGTAAAATAAGTATTTTTTTTTATATTTACATGTATTGATTGGACAATAATTAAAACATATTGTTTTATTTATTTTTGTGATTGTCTATTGATGCAGTTTTATTTTAACTGGTAACTAACAATACATATAATTTGGAAAAGCAGCCAATCTGATTAAAATCTGATGTTTTGTATTTTATATTTTTGATTTTATTTTTATTGTATATTTTTATTATTTTGTAATTTTTTTTTATATTATTGCATACATTGTGGGCTTTCACGACAACCAAACTACCAGCGATATATATTATAAATTCAAATAAAATAAAGAAAATATCTTGTATAATAAAAATAAGTAATTAAAAACATATTTAAAAAAAAAAAATGAAATCTTATTTTAACTAAATTGGAAAAGCAGCGCACATGTTTTTTGTTTTGTTTTTGACCTTCAAAGCTAAAAAATACAATTTGAACTCTTGCAATGATGCCAAGAGCAAAATGAAAGTTTGTTGACCTTCAAAGTCAGCTTGCCCTATTAATACAATATTGACAGCAACGTTTCTCATATTTTTATTGTCAATCGTATTTTCCTTCCAATGTGTTTGCTAAAAAATTTGAAAATGTTTACAGTCCCTCTCCCCAAATAATTTGTTTAATAATGGTTGGTTTCACTGCATCATTCTAGACCAGGAAATGAATGTGCTATCCCATGATCCTTTGCTGATAGTTTGTTAACCTTTTGATAAGATGCCAAGGGGGTATACAACATTGAAAAAAGAAGATGGAATCATTATATGTATATATTTATATATTTATTTTTTTCCTCGTTTCCTGAAAATATTAATCATCCTGGAATAAATAATTCCTAAACTGAAATGCTATAATACCATGTTTGTGTTTTGTGTAAAAAGTTTGTTGACCTCAGATTATACTGTATTTGCTAACAGCTATTTGACCTATAATGACTATTACTTTTTAATGTGAAGGAGAGAATCAGATTCAATTAGCAGGTTAGGCTTTTTTTAGATAAAAGAATTGATCGGTTTCATGATGGTTTTACTGTTTTTATGTCATGTATTATTGAAACACAAGCCAAGGAAATGTACACTGCATGGAAAGTTTGTTCACCCTTTTTCGTGGGTCATACCATATATGCATAGGTATGAACCAGCTCCAGCTTTTCCCTGAGGGGCTTGTTTTCTGAGGGGCACACTTTGGGTGCATGATTCTTTTAGGTACCTGTTGCTGCTGATGTTAGTGATAATTATTTATCATTTATTAAAATTATTTTAAAACTTTTTTAAAAGAATAGAATTAAAAAAAATATTGAGAAAAAATTCTTTCATCAAAAAATAATTTATTTTTTTGACATAAATTATTCAATAAAACAATTTATCATGATATAGAATTATTATTTAATATTTCACATTATAAATAATGCAAAACAATTAATATGATTCTGTTTTTTTTAGATTGTTTAATAATAGATGTTTTTTTAAATTTAATTTTTCACAGAAGTTGATTATTCAATTGTTCCCATTTTTCAATTATTTAGCTTGTTTTATTCTAGTAAAGTTCTCCCATATTTTTAAGTGCTTTCCTTCCTTGCTGTATTTGTATTGTCTGAATATTTAGGTCTTACACTACAATTAAACCAATGGAGGGCGCTATAACAGCTTAGCAAGGCTATGTTACACATACAGACAATGAGTACCCAAAGTTTTAAAAATTAAACAAGTGATTTGTCTAGTTTTTAAAATCAAATCAAATAATATCTTCCATATTTTCACAGATGTATTGGCAATATTAAAAAAGTTGACCAACCTGTCTACTCACTCCGAACGTACATGCATTAGTCTGCCATTTGAAAACAGCTGATTTCTGACTACTCACTGTAAACGTATTAGTCCGCCATTTTAAAAACAACTGATTTCTGACTAATCACTCTAAACGTATTAGTCCGCCTTTTCACAAGCCTAAAATCTGTTTACACTAGCACCATGTGAAAATACAAACATCCAGTCTCTCACAAAAAGTTGTTTTCAAAACAGAGTGGATTTAATTAGTGAATGCTTATGAGACCTCTCACCTTGTTATAAATTTTAATTGCAGCACAAAACCTTTAGAATTGTTGGTACTTCTTTGTTTATTTATTCTAGTAGATGTACTTGAGTACAAAGAAACATATATTGAAATAAAAAGCATTTATTGACAATAGAGGGCACTCTTCAATATTTCTGTGAGCACATTATTCTCTGGGGCGGAGCTACGTCACAAGATGTTCTATGTTGCTAAGATGCACACCAATGTACCATGTATTTCTATGGGCTTTGCACAAGCTCCTGTAGAACGCAGACTAAATTCGATAAAACAGTAAAAACTCAACTTCAAAGTAATCCTGGACAAACAAATTTATATATTTTGGACATACAGGGGGTAATCTTGTTACACTGTTCAAGGGAGTCTCAACAACCATCTCAGAATACTGTTTTCTGAAAGTTTTCGGCCTTTGTTTTCACCGTGATGGTTGCCAGGCGGTGAAATGCCCGGATGTTCGCCCCCGAAAATATCAATGCTGTCAAACAAAACACTCATGAAGGGGAAAAATGTGTTTTATTAAAAAACTTGCACCTGCTTTTTTTTTTAAAACATGAAAATACATGCTGTTTTGTATAAAGTTTATTTTTTACTGATTTTTGATGAGTTGAATGTAAAATATAGAAAAAAAGGTATTTCCATAGATTTAGCTCTTCTGTGAAAATAAATGTTGAAAATTTACTATGTTGAAAATGTAAGCTGTCTATCAGATTCTTACAGTATGAGTTATGCAATTGTAGAGCATACAGTTCTGTAATTCAGATTCCATTTTTTGAAAATAAAACACTAATTGGACACTAGAGGGTGCTATTCAACACAATACATGATTTCCTCTTCCAATTTCAGATCAGAAATTAATCCTAAAGAACATAGAAGGGAAGTTCGTGTCCGGTGAATTATCAGCAATAATGGGTCCCTCTGGAGCTGGGAAATCTTCACTCATGAACCTGTTAGCTGGCTACAAGTAAGTTCATCCTATTTCTTACTGAAATCTTCTGCATAACTGCAGATATTTCCACAATTTTTTTCAGTGAGAATTTTTTCATGAAAAACAGATTTAAAAAAAAAAAGATTTTCGAAATTTTGAAAAGCTATTTCCCCTGACTTACTATAGTAAAATACAAGGATAAAAAATGTAGGGTAACTGAACTGCATTGAAATCTTTAAATCTATGTGTGCCAAAGTCAACTTCAGGTTCTATTAGTAGTCTGCTCATTTCCTCATTAAATATTGTGAAAATGTCAAATTTTTTTATCAAAAAATGTAATGTTTTTTTTTGTTTGGTGAAAAATTAAGCTTGCATTCAGTGAAAATTACAGAAAATGTGAACAAAGTAACTTCAATTTGAACGGTAAAAAAATTTTGCACTCAAAAGGTCAAATTCTGAGCCAGTGTTTTATAAATTTTTACCAATTTTTTGTTTTATTAAAAGGAAATTGTTTCCAACTTCATGGAGATCAATAATTATGTAACATTTGAACTGACCAATGAGCATGAGGTATTTCCTTTATCTTGTGTGACATTTGCGTAAATCTGAATAGTTAATGAGATATTACTAGCACCATACCTAGGCTATGGAGAAGTGGTGTGTACATGTGCATATAATTTTTTTTTTAATAATTTTGTTCATTTCTACTATATAAAACATTACAAAACTCAAAAGAAAAAGTCAAAGTCAAGGTCACAAGAAAGTACATAGCTATTTGACGACAGATAAAAAGAAATTAACTTTGAAAAAAATAATAAAAAATAACCAAAACTTGGTGTGTAAGCATACTGTAAAATACTTTATTTTAACTGGAATTAATTTTAGCTGAAAAGACTAATTGGGTATTTAGTATGGAATTTATTTTCACTGATTTTTGACAAGTTGAATGTAAGTATAGGAAAAAAGGTATATTCGCTGGATTTTATTTTCACTGAATCATTCCTTCAGCGAAAATAACGAAAATTAATTCCAAGCGAAAATAAAGTATTTCACAGTATTTAATATTTTCTTAAGGTATGCACTATAGATTTTTGAGTTTCAATTTTAATCAACAATCCCATTCCCATACTTAATTTAATTAATTTGTTTGTTTTCTTGTGTCGAGGACAAGGTCGGTGAAAGGTCAGATCTACATTAATGGTAAAGAGCGTGATCTTCGTACATTCCGCAAGATGTCTTGCTACATAATGCAGGACAATCACCTCCTGCCAAATCTCAGCGTTATGGAGGCCATGATGGTGGCTGCAAATCTCAAACTGCCACAGAAAATGAGTTCATCAGAAAAGAAATTGGCGGTCAGTTTATAACAACAATGTATATTAAAACAAAATAATGTACTGTAAAATACTTTATTTTTTTTTAGCTGGAATTAATTTTCATTGATTTCTGATGATTGAATGTAAACAATATGAAAAAAAAGTATATTTGCTGGGTTTTATTTTCACTGAATCGTTCCTTTAGCGAAAATTAATTCAAAGCCAAATTAAAGTATTTTGCAGTACATAATTTTTTATCAGAATAACCAACATAATCTGTAGAATATTTGGGGCTGAACATTTTTGTGATACATTTCACAGAGGAACGATATTGGTGATGTGTTTTTAATTTTTCAATATTTGCTCATCAAATTAATCAAGATACCATAATCATATAGATGAACACAGAGGGCACTATTCTTTCACATTTTCAATGCCACTAATTTTTTTTTCATGTTTAACCAACACTTTGAAAAGATTTTGGGAATGAGTGCCCGTCATTGTTATTATTGAAATTATAATTTTATTCTTTTCACAGGTTGAGGAAATCTTAAGTCTACTTGGTTTATCAGAGAGTACTAAAACAAGGACCAAAAATCTGTCTGGTGGACAGATGAAAAGATTATCTATAGCTCTGGAACTTGTCAACAATCCACCAATCATGTTTTTTGATGAACCCACAAGGTAATCATGTGACATTATTTATCAATGCTTATTGGTCACAAATCCACCAATCATGAATTCACAAGGTAGTCATGTGACATTATTTATCAATGCTTATTGGTCAACAATCCACCAATCATGCCCCCCACAAGTAATCATGTGACATTATTTATCAATGCTTATTGGTCACATGGTAGTCATGTGACAATAATTAAATTTGATTATCACTGTTATATAACATAAGGTTTATCTGGAATGTGATTGGTATATTTGTAAACATGATAGTGACATCATTATAATATTTATTATATGTATTTGAGTGAAAGTTATTAATTTAATCAAATTCTATTCAATTCACTGAAATCTGGATTTCAAATTGTGCAAAGTTAAAATATGATCATCTCTACATGTTTGAAATCTCTAAGATGATTGGGTATCTAAACTGGTACCTAAGCAAAGTCTTCCCTGATTGGTTATTAGATCATAGAGGTAATCAGTTCAATCAGATAGTGTCATTGTTATAATATGAATAACAATAATATGTATATATTTCTCTGTGCAGTGGTTTGGACAGCTCATCATGTTTACAGTGTGTGTCTTTACTGAAGTCTTTAGCCAGAGATGGTCGAACTGTGATTTGTACGATACATCAGCCAAGTGCTAAACTATTTGAAATGTTTGACAAGGTAAGTACATGTACATGTGAATGTGTGCAGTGGGGAAAGAGGGGGGGGGGCTGTAAGTAACGCTAAATTCTGAAATCCTGAAAATTGTGCTTTATACAAAATTTTGGTAAAGCAATTGACAGTAGTATCTGTTATTTCTCTATTTATTTTTCATATCTATGAAAGCATTCTCAATTTTATAGATTTAAACCAGACATGTAACCTTTATCTCCATAGAAATCCATTTTGTGCATAAAATATTCAACAAATGACAATTTTGTCCAAAAAAAATAGTTTCCAGCCAAATTAATTAATATCTACTACTTAGACTACCGGGGTAATCAGTATTTCATTGAGGGCTCCTTTCATACATTATGCAAAAGAAAACTTTGATATGAAACTTTTATTAGTTCATTGATGGCTCCTTTCATAGATTATTTCAAACAACTTTAATATAAAACTTTTATTAGTCCATTTAGGGCTCCCTTCATGAGTTATTTAAAACAACTTTGATATAAAACTTTTATTTCATAGAGGGCTCTCTTCAAAGATTATTTAAAACAACTTTGATATAAAACTTTTATTAGTCCATTTAGGGCTCCCTTCATGAATTATTTAAAACAACTTTGATATAAAACTTTTATTTCATAGAGGGCTCTCTTCAAAGATTATTTAAAACAACTTTGATATACAATTTTTATTTCATAGAGGGCTCCCTTCATAGATTATTTAAAACAACTTTGATATAAAACTTTTATTTCATAGAGGGCTTCCTTCATAGATTGTTTAAAACAACTTTGATATAAAACATTTATTAGTTCATTGAGGGCTCCCTTCATAGATTATTTAAAACAACTTTGATATAAAACTTTTATTTCATAGAGGGCTCTCTTCAAAGATTATTTAAAACAACTTTGATATAAAACTTTTATTAGTCCATTGAGGGCTCTCTTCATAGATTATTTAAAACAACTTTGATATAAAACATTTATTTCATAGAGGGCTCCCTTCATAGATTATTTAAAACAATTTTAATATAAAACTTTTATTAGTCCATTGAGGGCTCTCTTCATAGATTATTTAAAACAACTTTGATATAAAACTTTTATTTCATAGAGGGCTCCCTTCATAGATTATTTAAAACAACTTTGATATAAAACATTTATTTCATTGGGGCTCTCTTCAAAGATTATTTAAAACAACTTTGATATACAATTTTTATTAGACCATTGATGGCTCCCTTTTAAGATTATTTAAAACAACTTTGATATAAAACTTTTTTTTCATTGAGG